TGCGATCGTGCGAACCGAGGCTGCTAAAGAGTGTTACGCGACACTAGCGTCGATAAAATGTTGGGCCAGGGTAGCTAAGAAGCGTAACCTTGCCACACAGTCTCTAAGACTGTTATCCGACGCAGTCGTTGTTGTAGTTACGCACAAACAGAATGTCACCGATAACCATCTACATAGTCTTCTTTGCATGAGAACCAGTAACTGTTCTAAAGGTGTTTCTTGCTTTGGCCACATCTAGCTGGATTCCCCCCCCCCCCCCCAGTCTGATGTGGGTAGCATAGGTAGCCGGATCAGACTATGACGAATAAGGCAAAGTTACTATGTCAATGCACAATGAAGTAGCAAAAGTATTTGTACGAGGCGGATATTGTCAAACCGATAAGCTGTAAGGTTGTTGATCGTGTAGAGGTTCCAGGAGCTGGGCGATTAGGTTGGTAGCGGGGATCACACAGCGATACTATTGTCGATAGCCAGGCAATAGAATTGTTGCGGGATAGGCAGTAAGGCTATAGGTTGAGGTTTCATAGCAAGACCGTTGTCGAGAGCCAGACAACATAGATGCTAACGGATGCTCGACGAGGCTACCGGTAGGGGCTGCGAAGCGAGACCATTTCCGAGATCCAGGTAACCGCGATGTTGAGGTATAAGGAGCGAGGCTATAGATAGGGCATGCGCAACAAGACTGTTGCCGAGAGCCAGGCAACAGAGATGCTTAGGGATAAGCGGCGAGGTTTCACGTAAGGGTTACGCAGAAAGGCCGTTTCCGAGATCCTGGAAACAGAGATGCTGAAAGGTAGTAGGTAGCAAGGTTGCTGTCGTGACAAGCTTCTTGCCGGAGAGTAATCTCGCTATAGCATGCTATAATGTTGAAGACGCTTCATTGATCGTCCGAGCACAAGAGAACCATGATGACTACAAGAGAAGAAGCACCGAGGGCGCAGCGCTAGGAATAGAACAAACTTGTGGTATGCGACTTATGGTGCGCGACAATGCGCGACTCATGTTGCACGACTTAGAAGAATAGCTTGGTTTAGCAGTCAGCGATCATGGAGATGTCACGCGGGAGAGCATCGTGTGGTATAGATCGAGCTTAGCTGCTAACGATTGTAGATACATCACGCGGTACAGCTTCGCATGAAGATCGGGCTTAGCAGCCCAAGATCGTAGATACATCACGCGGTAGGGCATCGCGTGGAATCATATAGGCAAAGACTGCGAGCCTTTGAGCCTTGTTGGCGGAGCATGCCGCTGGAGTCGAGCTGAGAAGCTAGGCGACTCAAGGAAAGGGTGCTTAACCTCACATGTGGAGCTTGCCACTATAGTGGAGTCGGGCTGAGAAGCCAAGCGACTCAAGGCGAAGGTACTAAACCTCGCATGCGGAGCTTGCCGCTATGATGGAGTCGGGCTGAGAAGCCAGGCGACTCAAGGAGAAGGTACTAAACCTCGCGTGTGGAGCTTGCCACTATAGTGGAGTCGGGCTGAGAAGCCAAGCGACTCAAGGCAAAGGTACTAAACCTCGCATGCGGAGCTTGCCGTTATGATGGAGTCGGGCTGAGAAGCCAAGCGACTCAAGGCGAAGGCACTTAAACCTCGCATGCGGAGCTTGCCGCTATGATGGAGTCGGGCTGAGAAGCCAAGCGACTCAAGGCGAGGGTACTGAACCTCGCATGATTGGGCGTAGTGGTCGGCGATCTATGTGTTCGGCCCGGGTTATCAAGAGTAGCTAAAGTGTAATGGCACCTGATGTTCTGCCGCATCATTAGTTGATGAGAGTTAGGCAGGATGGTTGCTGGGATTTAGGCCGCATGGTTACTAAAAGGAGCTGGGCATGATGGTTGCTGGGATCCAGGCAACGCGACTACTGAGAGCTAAGCCGCGAGACTGCCTAGGACCGGCCACCACGACTGCTGATAGCCAGGCAACATGATCGATGTTTGATGTTGGGCCGTGGAGCTTTTCCTTAACTCGTAACACCAATCTCTTCCCCGGGATGCACAATCGTACATAACATCAACTCGTTATGTAGTTCAGCCCAAAATAGAAGTAACACTTCTGTATAGTGTTGTGCTACTCCTTCTACTCTCCCTCCCCCCTTTTTTAGGAAGAGTGAAGAATGGTATTGGCTTGTGCTTCACGTTCGAGCCTCATTCGTTTATACAGGTTTGCAAGTCACATGCTCATGTCCTACAGATCGAACATTGCTCCGTCGGCGAGCTCTGAGTGTCGCTGCACTAGAGCAATTATCCAAGATCTGACGAAGGCTGGGTATTGCGGCTGCCAAGAGCTGTTCAACGCAACTACTAGAAGTCGGACCTCGCAATTGCTGATGACTGGGCTTTGCGGTTGCTGAGCTAGGTTACGTCGCTGCTGAGGGGCGGGCTGCGCGACTGCCGAGATCCAGGCAGTACGACTGTTGTGGACTGAGCAGCGAGGCTAGCGAGGGTCGGCCAACATGAATGGTGAGGGCTAAGCAGCGAGACTGCCCGTAGTTTGTCGACATGGCTACTGATAGTCGGCCGGTGCAGTTGCTGAGGGTTATTTCGAAATGCTTCACGAGTAGTAACAATAATGCACTACTCTTCTCCCTCCTTTTTTTCTTGAGAACGTCGTGTGGGTCCGAGTCGCAACGCATTCTTTTGAGCGGAGCTTGCGGTGCGCGAGTATTACATTGCTGATTTTATTTTGCAAAGCTTGAGCCTTTCTATCGCGGTCGTATTCTAAAATACTTCATGTAGTAGTAGTAGCATACTACTCTTCTCCCTCCCTTTTTGAAAATGACGAATTATTCGGGCCGTAACACGTATTCTGAAAGCGCACCCTGTCGAGCGGAGCTTGGGGCATGCTAGCATTGAGTTGTTCATTTTTCTTGTAGAAATAGCCCAATTTCTGCTTCTTTTTTTTTTTTTAGAATTAAGCTCCAGCATCTAGCAATTCACGATGGAGCCTTCTTTTTTTTTTTTTTTTGTTCGAAACGTTTTGGCTTGGGACCCCTCGTATTTTTATTGATTTTGAAGAACCAAAATATCCAGCTGGTTCGTAACAATCACTTTATTTCGAGGAGATTGCCCAAAAGGTAAGGGCCGACGATTGAATGTCTAAGATCTGAATCTGAGATGACCCCTTCCTTCTTTTTTGTATATTATCAGAGCTTGTCACACATCAGATCGGAGCTGTGATGATGGCGATGATGTTTAGTAGTTCCCGGCGATTGCGTGGTTCCTCGTTGGAATTTTGCGCTGCAGAAGGGATCAGAGCAGCGATTTGGTTGCCGACGACGTCGATCTGTTGGGTTGTTGGTTGAAAAGGGATTATCAGCAAGAGGTGATTCGGTGTTCGCTGATGTGAAGCGATTGATTGCAGTCGGGGCCACCCCGTCGGAGTAGCGGCGTCGACTAACTGCAGATGGTGGTGATGCGACTACTCCAACCGGTGTCGGTGAATCGAGGGAAACGGGACCAGGTCTCCGGCTGGTGGCGGAGTAATGGAGGTTAATTAGTAACCAAGGGCCTACAGTTGTTGGATCTCGTTGCCGGTAAGGGAGAACCAGGTCTTGTATGACCAGGGTTGCTGCTTGTTGGCGGTACTTTGGCTCCAACTGTTGTTAGCGTGGAAGGTATTACACCGGTGGCCGCTATTAGAGTTATTTTGTCGGGGCGGCGACTCCATTGACCGAAGACGATGGCGGTCGATGACGAATGAGCTCCGATTACGGGTCAATTGATTTGGGAGTGCTGCTGGTTGACCAGAAGAGGTGAGTTGGATGACTCCAAAGGAGAGTGGACAAAGCGGGTCCCACATGGGTTTTTGTTTTTTCTTCTAGCTCATTAAGGCTTTTGTACAATGGTTGGAGCCAGCTGTAATTTTTGTTACTTTGTGCATTAAGAATTGGACAAGATGTATGCACCCAATACATGACTGATACATGACTGGTGGGGCCCGAATATCATTTTTTCTTGTTGAAAGCAGATAAATTAATACATCTTGTTGACCAAACACTTCTCGTTTACCTCCTACCCTTCCCCTTTTTTTTATAAAAAACATTGAGTGAATAGGACTATGACGCTTTTTCAGGATGCGTTTTCTCGAGCGGAGCCACAACGCACGGTTGTTGAACGGTTGCATCTTGTCTGGGAAAATGGGTCATTCTATTGTTTGAAGCATAGCCCCTGAACATAGGAAGCAAGTTTCGGAGTGGTATGAAATGTCGCAACCCATTTTATAAGGGGAGCCCAAATGTATTTGTTATAGGCCAACTTGCAAATTTCTTCCAAATCCTTTGTACGTTAAATGGATTGTACATTTGAATGAGAATCAAGGGTTGACTCCATGTGGGACATCTTCATATTTCTATTTCCCTTTTTATTCCTTTTTTTTTGCTTTAAATTTGGCTGCGTACCACATATGGTGCCAACCATGTTCCTTCTTTATCAATTTTGGAGAAAACCCAATCGTCCGTATGAAAAATGAAAATGCCGGCGACTATATATCTGAAGTTCACCGTCGCAATTTTTTTATATGGTTCGTTCCATGCAGGAGCCCATTTGCTGATTATAGGCCCGCCCAGTGATCGTTTCTTTCTTTTTGTTGTGTGCATGAACAGATTACACAAGAGTGGCCCACAATACTCTTATAATTTTGAATCAAAGGGTTTGTGGCTGTTCCATATTGTCGCGACGAGAGATGCCGACAAGGGAAGGAACTGGTGACTGGAAATCTAGAAATTCCCAGTGCTTATTCGCCAGGGCTCCGTCAGCTGTAAATGGAAATAAAAATTGTGCATTGTCGGCGGCACTGCTTTGCTAAGTCACCGGTGTTGATGATTGGTTGCAGGTGGAGACGATGGGGGAGCATCCTTTAGCAGCTAGCGATCGGAGGTTGTATGCTTGCTGATAGCCGGCTGAAGGTCTAGCGATTCCCGGTAGGAGTGATTTGGATCTGGTTTCATTTGGTGATGGCGCTATTGTTGATGTCGGAGCGAAGCTTTTTGCCGGCGACGCGACATGTCGTCTCATCTGCGTTGGGGGTGGTCGGCGGTTCAGGAGAAACAGGGGCGGAAATCACCATCGGTGCTGTTGGGGCTACCTATAGATTACATGCGATGGCAACCAGGTTCTTATCGTCGGAGTCAAGAGCGCCTGGTGGTCTTTCAGCCATCCAAGAGAGAAATTCGGAATCAGATGGAGGTAGCGCCAACCGGAGTAGGTGGTCGATGGTGGTGGAGTAGCGATGTACGTCTGGTGGCAGCGATGGTTGTTGACATTGAGGCTGCTACTGACGGAGGGCTGACCGGTGGCGTTGGCATTGACCGACAATGAGTGGTGTTGTTGACTGCCAAGAAGATGTGTTGACCGGATAGGCTCTAGCTTTTTTGTCTTTTCTATTTATTGAGGATTGGACCACGTGTGGGACCTACGGGTTTTTAACTTTTGCCTTATGGTGTACAGTTGTATATTCTTTCCCTGCCCCCTCTTTTTTTTTTTTTTTTTGAAGCATTGACATCGAATATTTTGTAAACGTGAGCTGTAATGTAATAATTTTTTATATGTATCTTTTGAGACTTGTCATTTCAATGCAGAAGAGTACAAGTCCCATCTCCTCTCATCTTTTTTTCTTTTGAAAGAAAACAAGGGTATATCCCTTTTGACTGAATGCTCTTCATGTATAATATCTGTTTATACCTGTTGTACCCCCTTTTCCCTCTTTTTTTTTGTTTGATAACCATTAATTAAAATGATAAACTATGGGAGTAAATGTAATTTTACCAGTTTTGAAATGCATAAGGATTCCAAGAAAACATAAGTAAATTTATACACAAACTTATGACTAAAATGAAAATTTTTATGATGTGTGCTGGAAGATTGTAAAATTTATAAAAACTTCATTTCTCCTCAACTTTCTCAGTGAGTCATAGAAAGAATGACAAAACTGATTTGAGATAAAAATGGTTTTACTGAAAGTTTGAGAAGGTAAAAAATTATAAGAACTTATTTTCTTCCTTCCAGCTTCTGAATAACTTAAATCAGCTTGAAAATCGTAAACTAAGTGGGGTTTCCTGAAAAATACATAGACTGCAAGTGGGTTAAGACCCATCAAAACTTTCCTTCTCTTCTCTCTCTCTCTTTTTTTTTTTTTTTAAGAGTACAAACATCCTAACTTTGTTTACAAACAAATGTTGCAGGGACTAAGGTTATACACAGAAAATCTGAACTAGAAAACGGTTTTCTAGCAATATGAATTTGATAAAAGGGATAAACTTGTAAAAATTTATTTTCTACTCACCTTTCTGAATAACCACCAAACTATAAATGAAAAAATGGATCTGATAGGGCTTTTGTAAGCTTAAAAGATGTTTGAATGAACAAAAACAAGAGTAAATCTATAGATCTGAAAAAAAATTCGTTTTCCTTCTTTAAACTTTGAAGGAAACACTAGATAGACAACTTCAACACAGTTTTGCGAAAGAAATCATAAACTGAAAGTGATTTATAACATAAATTGAAAATAAAGTAAACATTTATCAAAAAGTTCTTCAACTCTCAAGTTGCTTTCATAAATCACCAAAATAAGAACGAAAATGGGTTAAGAACTCATAAGAAATTCTTTCTTCACTACTTGCTGAAGAACCCATCAAAATATAGACGAATTTTAGATCTTATGAAATCTTTTAAAACTTGAGAGTTGCTCAAATGAACTAAAACCAAACATATTTAAACATCTGAACAACAAACAAAGAAGATGTAACGATCTGAACAAACAACTCAACAGATCTTGAGATCTGAGCGAAAAAATAGGTTGATCAATCTGAACAAAAACTCATAAAAATTTTCTTTTCTCTTCATCCTACTCAAGAAACCCCCAAAATATGAACCAAAAAACGATTTTAAGAAGATTTTTGCAAACTTGGGGAGTGTTTGAGTGAAGGGAATCATATAGATCCATAGATCAGAACTAAAAAACATGATGGATCTATAGATCTAAAAGATAGTGAAGCAAATTTGAACAAATCTTGGCAAAAAATAATTAGATCTGAACAAATGTTGCTAGAGATTAACAGATCTGAGGAAACCTGAGACGAAAACCCATCAGATCTGAACAGATGTGAGGAAGAACGAGCTTAAAACCAACTGAGGCTTTTGCTACTTGCTCGAGTCCGGATGGCGCCAAATGATGCGACATCAACCTCCGGCGATTCTTCTGGTCTGCTGCTGCGGCGGAGATCTGGACATCACAATCAGAGAGACGCGTTAGAGCCGCCCCAGGGACTGTGCCCCGGGAGCGGGCTCCGACGGTCAAGTTAGATCATCTGGTAGATCCGAGATGGTCCTCCATAGCTGTAGAGAACCATATTAGTGCTAGTGGTGGTGTATGGTGGCTGACGGCGGCGGGTGGCGGCTGAGCCACCCGGCCGGAGTATAGTGTGGCGGCTGAGCCATGGGGAAGATCCCCCTCCATGGAGGAGATATTATTCATTATATAGGGGACAATTAGGTCAAGGGGAATTAGGGCAGGCCTTGGGCCAGCCCAATTCAGGCCCAGCTAGCAAGGAGTTAGGTGAGGCCGCCCGGAGGCGGCAGGCGGGGCTGGCGAGCGCGCACCAGGCAAGGTTGGCAGGCGCGCACCAGGAAAGGCTGGCGGGGGAGCGCCAGGAAAGGGAGCGTCGGGCCGGGCCGGCAGGAGAGTCCCCAGCACGGCTGGCAAGGGAGCACCATGCAGGGATGGCAAGGGAACGCCAGGAAAGGCTGGCAGGAGCGCGCCAGGCCAGGCGGGCGCTCTAGAGTGGTCTAGGCCATGCCAATGGACCATATATCATCACTCATCTTGAATCCTCATCTTATGATACCCCGACCGAAGATCAATCTTGGAAAACGAAGACGCACCCTGCAGCTGATCGAATAAATTTTTGATCCTTGGTAATGGATAACGGTTTTTCACCGTTAGTTTGTTCAGCTCTAGATAATAAATACACATCCTGTGTGACCCGTCCTTCTTTTTCACTAACAGGATCGGAGCTCCCAACGGGGAACTACTCGGACGGATGAACCCTCGGGTCTAGCAGCTCCTGAAGCTGCGTAGATAGCTCCTGCATCTCGGGCGGAGCTAGCCGGTACGGTGCCTTTTCTATCGGAGCGGAACCCGACACTAAATCGATTTGAAACTCCACTTGCCTCTCCGGAGGCACTCCCGGTAACTCCTCGGGAAAGACATCCCGAAAATCCTGTACCACCGGTACACGACCCAAATCCGTCGTAGTCTCAACCCTCGTATCCGAGATATATGCCAGAAATCCCGAACAACCCTGCTATAGAAATCTCCTAGCCCTCGCAGCTAAACTTCGGGTTGGCCCATGCGAGGCCCTCTCTCCATGAATAACCAATTCTCTCCTACTTGGGGTTCGAACTCTCACCAACTGGAGCTTGTAATCTATCATGGCCCCGTTGGCCCCCAACCAGTCCATCCCGACAATCACCTTCAGCCCTCGCAACGATATCGGGACTAGATCAACACGAAACCTCTCTCCAAGCACATTCAGGACACAGTACCGATACACCCTCGTAGCACTCACAGTGCGGTAATCCACAATATCCACCTCAAGCGGGGAATCCAAAGTTCCCGGTGCATCCCGGAACTTCTTGCTAAGCGCAAGAGATACAAACGACCGGGTAGCACCCGAATCGAATAGAACATGAGCCGACATATCATTGACCAAAAAGGTCCCTATACATGAGCACATACATATACATAAGGAATACAAATCAATATCCAACAGGAAGGATAAAACATGTACCAACCACGACGTCTGGCGCTGCCCGAGCCTCCTCGGTGGTCAATTGAAATGTGCGGCTCTGCACCACTGGAGCATCCGCCTTAGAAGTGTGGCCATCATTAATCCTCATTCCGGCGGGCGCAGGCGCCGCCACTGCTCCTCCCCCTCCCTGCAACGTCGAACAATCGGCCTTTTTATGGCCAGTCTGGTTGCAGTGGAAACAAACCGACTGGCCACATGCGTAACATCCTGAGCCCGCTATCCGACAAACCCCTCTGTGCGATTTACCGCACTTGGCACACCGGCCACGACCCTTCTGGCCCCTACTAGAGGAATCCGAGGTCTTAGGCTTTTTAGCCTGACCTACTGTTGTATGTGCCTGCTCGTGCTTCCGCTTGGTGCGGAACTCCAACTCCATGGAATGATACATCGTCCTCCTCATGTCCTCATCTGTAGCATACTGTGGGATCAACAATGCTCGTTCCCGAAACTTAGCGGTAATCTCCGCCACAGTCACGGTAGTCTGCTGGAGTTCCTGAAACTCCCTCACCAATCGCTGCACCTCAATAGCTGGTGCAAACTCCAGGTCACACCGGCTGCTCCCACCTGGCTAGTCACCTCTCCCCACCAGTCTCGGGCTCCATCTCTCAGCATACATGAAGCAAAACCCACCTTTGCCGCATCAGGGCAAGAACTCATGCGATGTGCATTCTCTATATCTGTCACCCAGCGTCGGCTAACAATGGGGCCCCTGACCCCGAAAAACTTCGGCGCCCCGCACGCCTTGAACTCCCAAAATGAGGGAGTTCGGGCCCCGACTTGGCCCATAGAAATCTCGTCTCTGAATGCCCTGATCCTCTCCTCCGTGATCTCCATAATACCCTCCTTGACCGTCCCAAAAATCACTGGGGTAGCGTCAAGGATGCCCTTCGTCACCTCGGCTGCAATGAGCTTGCGCATCCTCTCATCAATGGGTTTGGTACCGTCACCCGACCCAGATCCGGATCCTGATCCTGATCCCCCAGCTTCATGTCGTGTCACCACCATACTGAACTACAATGTCATAAATCGTAATGATCGGGATATCCAAAAGGGTATCCTCCCACACCGGTCCTCCTTAGAGCTTCCAGATCTAACATCAGTTCGGGTATAGGTCCTGTGCTTTCAGTAGTACGGGCCCAATACTACCTTCCACACCTACATGTACCTTTCCCAAGGCTCTACCAGATAACTCCAATTCGTCCCCGAAAGCAACATATCCCACAAGCTACAACATCACTCAAATCCTAGGTTATCCGAAGATTTGCTCTACCCACATCAACCAGACCAATCATAACAGCTTGCCTTTATGCATGCAAATTATACACAGAAAATGATCAAATAGACTTTCAAATAATAGATTCTACCCTATGACCACAACCAGACAAGGAACAGGGAAAAGGCTAAATCAATCATTATAAGGCCATAAGCTCCTAACCGTATATAATTTTAAAAGCATACACATAGCAAGATCCATACGATTATCATAACTAAAATACCAGTATAATATGG